AACCCCAGTCTCCCCAGCCTACCTTTGGCTTGGTGCTTCACCTATAGCGATCCACTTTCTCCCCTCCAAGCCTCTGCATACAATGTCCCCCCTGCCTACAATACTCTCCAGTGCTCCCTCCTCTTTAACTGCAAATCATCCTTCAGACCCCAATTTTGATTCGTTTCCTCTATGAAGTCTTACCAGAGGGCACACCAGTGCAGCAGAGTCATCCCTGCTAGGTGTGCCAGAGTACCCAGTGTGTCCTCATCTCAATAACTACCTCAGTAGACGCGTCTGCAACCTCGACCAGAACACGAGCTCCATGTCTCTTCTATCGATGGTTGCATTCCAAAACTCAGCATGGCACCATGTCCACACTGATGCTCAATAAACATGTGGTAACTAAACTTGAGTTACACTTTGTGAACATTCCTTGCAATATAACCACTGACAAATCAGTATGTCTAGGGAAAAAAAAAATGTTTCCAGTTCCAAATGACAAAGTTCAAACCACTGGCAAATTAGAGATGCTACAATAATCCAAAACCCAGAAAAAAGGTAACTGACATCAGAAAGCTTATCACATTTCTAATTTCTAATTAATTGCATGCTAATTTAGTGCACAACATTTTAGTATTGCTACATCATTTGACATGTGTTAATGTTCTTTTCTCTCCCTAGCTAAATGTTATGCATTCAAGGGCAACAGCCTTCCAGTTCTACCGTAAGTATCAACGGGAGTCCAGTACATGTTTATGTACTAACAGGCCCAGATCTGTGCTAGGACAGCCAAACACCAAACTGACTGCATCTATTGTAGCTACACAAGCTAAACAGTACAGCCACGTGTTCCAAGCTCTCATCTGGATGTCCAAGAGAGCTCAACTGTTCTGCTCTGCAGTGAAGCTTGTAAAAAAGCAGCCCCAGGCCTCCACCCGAATACAGTGACCACTGACTTGTGTCAGCCTGACTCACAAGCACCAAGCTAAGGCTCCTTTAGTTGTGTATCCACCATGGCAAGGACCGACACCTGGTTATCCGAGTACCAAAGGTCTGCAATCCACAGGGGCACTGAGACTAGGTCACTGCGCGACAAACACTGCCCAGTGAGGATAAGAAAACAGACATGAGGGGATCTGTGAGACCTGAAGACACACAAAATGCAGGCAATCTACACACCCCTGAATCAAGCAGTGATCTTAGCAACTGCTAAAGAGGGCTGGGAGGAGTAAGGCACGACAGGAAGATTTGCAGGGCAGGCAAATGACTGCTCAGTTGAGGACAGAGACTAGTCAGCCTAGCGTGACAGCTCAGAATGAAGCCACGGCTCCAAGACCGGCGCCTTCTGTACAAAGTAAATGTTCTGTAAGGTCGAGAAGTTTCGGTGTGTTTAAACCATACAGCAGGGTATCTTCTCACAGGAGCTAACCTGTTCAGTTTCTCTCACGCAAAAGTTTAACTAAAGTACGGTACATGCTGAAGTACTAACAGGACATGCAGAAATTTCTTTCCTAAGGGTGATGGATCCTCTCTCTCTAACTGACAAATGCAGCTGTCTTTATGTAATTCTCCTTCTTTCCGCTCCTGGTTTCCTCTGTAAAACGCTCGCTGTTTAACTTGTCTACCTGACTCTTCTTTTCCCGCCGCTCTTCAGAGACCACTCTGCTTAAGCCAGTGGGGTTCTCTTCACTGACCCCTAGTGATGGTACACAGTCCCGGGAATTGGCACAACGGGTTTCAAAGTTCCTTTTAGGCAACAGAACTCACTCCCCCATTCTCCCATCTCCACCTCACCCTAAATAACGTTCTTAAAATGAACTCAGAGCCCATCTAACCTGGCCTCCTCTATATTTATGTGGAAGTACATGAGGGTACTTTGGAGGTACTGTGCACCACAGACAACATTACTGTTGGAATTTTCCAGTCCGGCTGTCACTCCCAAAATCCCTGCCAAGTGTCCAACATCTCCTCCTTCATAGTCTCTTTCTCCTAATTCTACCCTGGTTCCAGCGGTCATTCGGGGCAGCCATCTCTGGACCCTGCATGTCCTGGACACAAGATCTGCCCATTCTGCACAGCCTCTCTTACCTGGAACCTTTTTCTTCTCTATTCTCATTCCCAACAACTTTAAACTAACCTAGCCTTCTGATACTACTAGTATGTATTAGTGAAATAAGTTCCCAAACCTAGTTATACCCACTCCAATCCATCCTGCGTACCACCCTGTTGGCTTTACTACGAACACCGCTCTTGCAGGGTAACTACGCAAGAAACTTCACCGCTCTATAACGCTAACAGAAACAAGCACCAAACTTTAAGGCGGTTACCATTCAGGTCCTCTGTAATCTCCGACAAACCCATTTTTCCAGTCTTACTCTCAAAATGAAGTAATTGTTCCAGTCACTCCAGTCCTAACTGTTCATCTTTATGCCCTAAAAGGCATTCCAGGCAACAAAGCACACTAGTGCAACGGAGTGCCATGATCTGGGGAGGGGGTCTGCAAACAGGCCCCCAGCAAGTCAGGCCCTCCACCTGTGTGGTAAGCAACCACGCCCATTTGCAATGCAATGAAGTGCCAAAATCTAGGGAAGGGTCTGCAAACTGAGGCCCCCAGCAAGCCAGCCCTCCACCTGTGTGGTAAGCAACCACGCCCATTTGCAATGCAATGAAGTGCCAAAATCTAGGGAAGGGTCTGCAAACTGAGGCCCCCGGCAAGCCAGCCCTCCACCTGTGTGGTAAGCAGCCACGCCCATTCCCTCAAGTCTTGCCTGAGGCTGCTGTTACACTACAGCGGCAGAGCTGTGTAGTTGGAACTGAGACCACCCAGCCTAAAATATCATATTGCCCCTAACAAAGTTTGCAGACGCCCTGATCTAGAGCTCTAACAGGATCACTCCTATTGCTGTTTTCAGAACAGATCCACACTGTAAAATATAATTCACGCCAGTTGTTCTCCTGCACAAAACCCTCCAATGACTCATCCCTTCATTCAGAGTAGAAGCCAAAATCCTTACAATGGTCTATAAGGGCCCTCACAATCACGTCCTACTCTGATCTTCCTGGCCTCATCTCCTAAGCCTCCCCCCACACTCATTCCAGCCACAAAGTCGGCTTGCTCTTCCCAGAGTGCACCAAGCAAGCTCCAGCCTGAGGCCTCCGCAACTGATGTTTCCACCGCCTGGGGTGCTTTTCTCCCAAGATATTTACAGAGCTCGTTCCCTAGGCCGCTTGAATCTTTGCTCAGGAATAATCTTCTCTGTGTGCACTTCCCAGGGCTTCCTATCTAAATCCTACCAGCCGCTGGCCCCTTCTTCAGTCATTCATTTTTCTTCCCTTCTCTGCTTAATTCCTCTCCAGTGCACTTCTTACCTTCTAACATAAGTTACTTTGCTTCCGCTCCTCACCCTGCCAGGACGGAAGGGTCAGACTTCTGCTCCCCACCCCCACCTGCGGTATCCCAAGTGCCTAGAGCGGTGCCTAACACACGAGCAGTTGCTCAAAAAATATTTACCAAGTGAACGAACGGACCCAAAGAAAAAAATAAAACCTATTAAAGATTAAAAAGAATTTGATTCATGTTCCTGGAGGTTTAAGGCCAAAAAACTAAACTGCCTATAGACTGCAACAATGCGCTCAAGCATGGCAGGGATTGTGACGATGGTACAGGCCAGTTTCCTTCTGTTGTACACAGGGTCGCTAGGAGTCGGAAGACGGCACCTAACGACAACACACCGCAGCTCAACGTGATATTCTACTAGTTCTCCCCCATTCACGTCTTCCCTCCCGCCTGCCACCTCCAACATTTAAAATGTCTGGAATCAGCTCACAGACACCAAACTTTGGATAAAGGCCCAGCTGCTCCTGATGGCCTGCCCGGCCTGCGTTCCTTTCCGATCTCATCTCATCAACCACTCAGCCCTCGGTTATGCTTCCCCAACCAGACCTGCTCTGCTCCTCAGAGGCCTCAGGAACCTTCCCACCTGCTGTTGCCTCTGTCCAGATCACTCCCCCCACACCTCTTCAGTCAGCTCCTCAACAACACCCAACCTGACCACCTGAGACAAGAGACAAGACCACCATTCAGCACCCCCTTCTTCTTCTTCCTAACCCTTAAAGCTTTCTAAAGTCAGCCTTGCACACATCTATCTTCCTTATGCAAACTCGAGGATGGCAGAAACCTCAACTGTCTTGTTCGCCACTACATCCTTGGTGCCTAGAATGGTGTCTGACCAGAGTAGTGACACAAGAATTAGAGCTCATGTTAATTACATGAGCTAAGGGTGGCGGTAGATAACTCCATTTTACCACTAAAGAAACTGGTATTAAGAAGTTACCTGAGACTCCCGACATCAAGCAGGTAGGACAATCTACCCCATAAAACCTGGAATAAGACACTAGCAGCTTCCCTTCTGTCACTGTAGAGGATAAACTATTCACACTACTGTTCAAAACCTCCAGTACTTGGATGCTTTTAAATTGATTACTTTAATCAAAAAAAACTGGCAGTTTGGTTGACCCAATCAATTATTTGTCTCAATTAAAAATTTACCTCGGCATCAGGTATGAGCTAAAATGCTCCCCCCATTAACGACCCTCGCAACCAACCTGCCTGTCACATATGATCCTGTCTCCCTGCCACAAACACTTAGGGAGGGACCAGAACGGTCAAAGGTACTGTCAGAGAAGTAACTTCCCAAAGCATTTCATCCATCACTCTTCTCCAACCCAAAAGTCAGCCTTGGGAAGCTCAGCGTCGTGGTGGGTAAAGCGGGGGGCGCTCCAGAACGCGCTCACTGCGCCCCCTCACCCCACACCACCACCGCAACCCGATGAATGAATTCCGGGTCCCCAGTTTAAATAAAGCACAAGGAACCGTTCCGAACATAACTGTTGGAGAAGGTGAGCGGGAAGGGGAGCGAGGGGAAGCCTGGGCCGGGAAGCTGGAGAGGCCCGCTGCGGCGCAGACCGCGCGGCCGGACCCCACAGCCCCGCGCCCCTAGCTCCGGGAGGCGCCGCACCTGCTGCAGGGAGGCGCAGCCCTGACACCGCGAGAGGTCCGCCGCCGTCCCGGGCGCCGCCGAGCGGGTCTCGCCCGGCATCATGGTGCCGCCGCCGGGACCGCTGGGCCCGCACGCCTCAGGGACCCGTGGCTTTGGCCCCGTCCTGCCTTTGCTGCCGCCGCCGGGCCCGCCGCCTGCCAGGCCGCTTCCCGCCGGATCCGGGCGGGTCCATCCGTGCACAGAGGTCCCCGTGGAGCTGACGAAAGGCTCTTCCAGCCAGGGCCGCCGCAGGCACAGCCGAGAACCGCTACCCGGCGCGGCCCCCAGCGCGACGCAGGCAATCCAGGGCCCCGCCCCGCCCTAGCTCGCCCCGCCCGTCTCCTCGCAGGGGGCTGCCCGAGGTGCGGCCTGAAAAGAGTAGGAACCGGTGCTGCGTTATTGTGGCAGAGAAGGCGCTCACAAAGGAAAAATCAATGTTAGAAGACGCATTTGCGGTGTACTCTCTTCACTGATAGAGTTTAGTCCCTAGTTGTCAGCTTGCCCTGAAACAGGCTCACGATAGACACCTATAACCTTCCTTGATGGGGGCGATGACTCGCCTATGACGTCATTCAGGCGCCTCCTAGAGTGGAAGGACCGCGGATCGGGACAGGCAAGTGTGCGGTTTGTACCTAGAGGGAGCAGTGCTTCCCCAAGTCTCGACCCCGGCCCAGCTGGGAGGGGAAGGAAAAGGGAGGACTAAGGTTTACGACGCGACGCGCGGGGCGGAGACGGAGCCGCTCTCCTGGCCGGCTCGCTGCGGTCCAGCGCCTCGTGGAGGCGTTGGCCGCTGGTGACCGTTCCTTCCTGCGTAACTTCTTTCCCTCTGGCCGCTCCTCTTCTGCAGCTCACGGCCCACTTGTCTTGGGCCTCTCACTTCTCGATCTAGTTTCAAGACCCTGTCGCCGCGCCGTCCCCAGAAACTCAATGGGCGGTGTCCCAGGCCCTGGCTGACGGCGCCGCTGCCCACCTGGCGACCTTGCCTGCCACTGAGGGTCAGTATCCAGCCGGTACCGGTTACCAGTTGCTGAGTGGACTCTGACTCATGGTGACTCCACGTGTGTCGGAGTAGAACTGTGCTCCATAGGGTTTAGGGTCTACAGTGGTTGGCTTCTTGGAGGTAGGCGCCTCTGGGTGGACTCGACCTCCAACCTTTCGCCAACTTTTTCGTTGGCAGCCGTGCAGGCAACCCTTTGCACCACCCAGGGACTCTCCAGCCCGTACCAATTCCTATTTTTAATACCTCTGGGAAGGAAAGAAAAAAAAAAAAAAGAATCCTCTCCCAGACTAGTTACTGGGTAAATCCATGCTCTGATCCTCTCCCTTGAACAAAAGTTTTCCACCATTGTCTACCACCACCACAATCATCTTTTTAATACGGCTGTTGCCATCAGCACCTGACTCAAGTCTCCCGTGGCTTCCTGCCCGGTGGGGTTTTGATTTTAACTAAGAATAAAGAAATGCTGAGTTTATCATGCATAAACTCGTTTAGTTTATTGCAAGATAGTCATGGCAAGGCACACTGAAGACCACAAGACGTTCCTTCAGGACTGAAGAATCTGAATTAACACTTGAATTACAATGTGAGTGCAATGATTACAGTCCCCATCTTTAGAATTCAGGCTTTTACCTCTTACCAGTGGTCGTGGGAGGAAGATTTGACCACATTTTGAACTTGAGCTTGGTGGAAGTTCCCATAGCTGGGTTCCGAGGACAGTGGTAGTGGACGTAGTCTTGATCTTAGTCTCTGGCAGGGTCTCCTCTTTGGAAAGTCAGAGTCTAGAGAGGGATCTTCTGCCTTCTGTCAAGGAATACACAGAAGTTGAGCGCTTATATATAATTTTATAACCTTGAACTTGCACAATAGGGCCTAGGTGATAGCGTGTTTAGTGTGTTACATCTTTTCTTCAAGGTCGGACACTCACTGTTGCGTTGTTAGAGATTAAGGGGTGGTTTTCTATACTCCTACTGCCTCGAGGCCACCTTATAGAAATAAAACTTTATGTTACATTTCGTTTATCATTTCAGGTATGTGTGAAGCCAATTTAGGGAGGTTGTTTATGACATAGCAAGCTCATATAGGGTTGCTGTGAGTCAGAATCAACTTGATGGCAGTGAATTCAGTTTTGGTTTTCTGGGTTTACGACATCACACATGCTTCATGTTCTATTTTTCTACCTTTAAATGCAGAAACTTTCTGCTTTTAAGTTACATTATAAGCAACTTGTGCATCTGTGGCTTAAGAGCGTTTATAGAAGCAAACCTAACAATGCTTGTACATAGAGAAACATAACACTGCCTTGGACATATGTGGTTTGAGAGCATTACAGAAATTGCATAATTTACCTAACATCCCCCATCATCGGGTTATAAAGCCCAAATTTCTAAGCTTCAATATGACCATTGTATGTGCCAAGTGAACTTAGAGACCTTACCAGCCTCTTCCAACATTTTCAGTATACAACTTGCGACCCCCACACACCCTTTCCAAGAAAGCAGTCTGGCTTTTTTCTCTTTAAATTTCACACCCTTACCCTTGCTTACCAGGTCCTTAGGTGGTGCAAAGAGTTTGGTCTCGGTTACTAACTCAAAAGTTGACAGTTCAAATCCACCCAGCGGAGCCTTGGAAGAAAGGCCTGGTGATAAGCTTCTGTAAGATTATACCCAGGCAAACCCTGTGGAGTTCTTTGAAGCACATCAGGTCACCACAAGTCAGAATGAACTTGACGGCAATGGGTTTGTTTTTGTTTTTTTACTAACCTGAAGGCTAGTGCTTCAAACCCACCCATCAGCACACAGAATATTACAGGCAAGAAAACCTTATGGAACAGTTCTACTGTGTAACCCATGGAGTTGCCATGAGTCAGAATCAACTCACCTGCAGTGGGTTTGGTGTTTTTCGTCTTTACCCTTGCTTAAACCCTCCATGGCTGCTAGTTGGTATGGGAGGAGGGGCCAGGCATCCAGCTGAGAATACATTTCCTGTAGTGGACATCTAAGGTGGACCCGGACGCAGCTGAGGAAGTCCTGGCTGTCCTCTGAGACAGGTGGGCAGAAAACAACAGTAGGTTTAAAGACAAGGGTGAAAGAGGAAGAAGTGAGCAGGTGCACAGCAGAACTCGGATGTACCTGGAAAGGCAGACCACCTGACCGTTAAAGAACGGGAGAGGAGAAGTGTGTGGATCCCCAAGGACTTGGCAGTTCTGGCTTTGGATCCAAGACAAGTGTCCTCACGAGTAACAGCCCTTTTAGTTGCGGTTTCTCACATAAGTCTTTGTTCCAGAGTACCTTAGTGGAGGAGGCACCAGCTTACTGTCCACCCCAACCCACAACGCAACGTAGGGGAACTTCACAGCTTCCTGCCTGGGGACCTTTGCCCACGTTCCCCCACCTGCACTGCCCTTTCCCCAGCTCCCCATGTTGAAATCCTATCTGTACTGCCAGGTCCCGCTTGTTACTGCCCCAACCCAAGTATGCCCACCTCCATTTTGCCCCTTAGCACCCTGAAACTTTTTATAGCACCACATTTGGAGTGGAATTAGAGTGATTTTCCTGTCGTAGAATGGAGCCGTGTTCCCTTTAAACCCGGCAAAGTGTGTACATTGTAGGTGTCGGAGTGAATCCAACTTAACGCACTAATGGAAGGTAAAAAGAATAGACATTAGCTGTCAAACAGTAACTGTTTCTCGAAGTCAGTTCTCAAGACTACTTAAAACCGAAATAAACAAAGTCTTGTTTGTGTAACGCAGGAGTCAGCATTTTTTTTCTGTGAAGGGCCAGACAGTCAATATCTTAACGTCTGTGAGCCACGTAGGTCTCTGCCACATATTTGTGTTTTGTTCTTATTTTTTAAACAATGCTTTAAAAATGTAAAGATCAATCTTAGCTCACAGGCTGTAGAAAGACAGGTATAATATACAGGTAAGAATGGAAATTGGTGTAAGCCACTGGTTAACGAACACTCGCAATTATATTTTTCCTTTTCCCAACACGGTGAGCCACCCCTGTTTTGTTATCGTGAATGGAAACTAACAAATGTCTACACTGCAGAAAGTGTGAGCAGTGGATTTGGAACCACAAACATGGATTCAAATTCTTAAGCAAGTTGACCTATTTGAGCTGGCTTCTTTTTTTTTTTTTTAAATAGAGAATTTGCTGTAATTTATGTTCAAACACACTAAGGACAGGGCTGAGTCCTTAGAATTTACTACACAGAGTAGTTATTGTTAACAATGTTTGATGACATCCATTTAGGAATATGGGTAGATGATGGATAGATAGGTAGATAGATACACAGATCCTTAGCATACTCATAGGAGGAAAAGAGTTTTGGCATTTTTCTTGGTAAACCTCAAAGAAAATCATACTAAGACTGGAGGAATGTCAGAATTCTCACCTCTACTAGTGGGGCCCCTGTGCCTGTGGAGTCCACTCAGCTGTTTACACGATCCAACTATAAAACACTGTAAATGACTGCAAAGGCATTCAACTGTGTTGATCATAACAAATTATGGATCACATTGCGATAATTGTGCTCATGAGGAACCTGTATATAGTCCAAGAGGCAGTGATTCAAATTAAACAAAGGGACACTTCCTGGTTTAAAATCAGCAAAGGTGTGCATCAGGGTTGTATCCTTTCACCATACTTACTCAGTCTGTACGCTAAGCAAATAGTCTGAGAAGCTGGACCGTATGAAGAAGAACGCGGTATCAAGATTGGAGGAAGATTCATTAACAACCTGCCATATGCAGATGACATAACCTTGTTTGCTGAAAGTGAAGAGGACTTAAAACACTTACTGATGAAGATCAAAGATTACAATCTTCAGTATGGATTACATCTGAGCATAAAACAAAAATCCTCACAACTGGACCAACGAGCAACATCGTGCTAAACAGAGAAACGATTGAGGTTTTCAGGGATTTCATTTTACTTGGATCCACAACCAAAGCCCATGCAAGCAGCAGTCAAGAAATCAACCGACATATTGCATTTGGCAAATCTGCTGCAAAAGAACCAAAGCCCATGCAAGCAGCAGTCAAGAAATCAAACGACACATTGCATTGGGCAATTCTGCTGCAAAAGACCTGTTTAAAGTGTTCAAAAGCAAAGATGTCGCCTTGAAGACTAAGATGTGCCTAACCCAAGCCATGGTGTTTTCAATTCCCTCATATCCATGCGAAAGCTGGACCATGAGGAAGGAACACGGAAGAAGAGTTGACGCCTTTGATTTTGTGGTGTTGGCAAAGAATATTGAATATACCATGGACTGCCAAAAGAACGA